ACGGGGCTCAATCCCAGGACCCCAAGATCATGACCTGAGCCGAAATCAAAAAACGGATGCTCAACCGACTGAGCCACCCAGGCGCCCCTTATCAGCTAGTTTCCCTTCATGGTTGTAAAACAGGAAGAAGAATATCTGCCTTGCCCTCCCTCAGAGGTTTTTATGTGAACAGAAGGAGGCACTGCAAAGGCTTTGTAAATGGTAAACTACAGAATCAATTAAGGTGGCTTTATGAAACTGTAGACTTTTAGGGATGTTAGGTACCTGGCAGTCATCTTGTCACCCCTTACCCTTAGAAGGAGAAAGGGGACAACCCCAAGTTCTCCTAGTGAATTGAAGCAGACCACAACATAAATTTGGTGTCCTGATTCTGGATTTGATGGGTTCGGCTCCATCATGATGTTTATCAGTTCTCTCTTAGATGATTTCTAAGCCCCTCGGGACTCTCTTTATTCGTGTGAAACATGGGAAGAGTCATCTGGCACCCACACTGTCACTATGTGGAGTATTTTGGAGAGTCTTCCAAATCAGGGAGCTCAGCGCCTCTCCTTAGATGTGGGGCTCATGCACAGTTGCAGATTGCAGACACAATGCCGTTGATTTATTTGACAAATACTTGTAAAGTACGTACCACCTTCCGAGAACTCTTGTAAGCTCTTCACAAATATCTGCTCATTTTGCCACATCTGAATGGGTGAAAAAACTAGATAGGTAGTACCATCAGAGACCTGAGAGAAATAAATTTAAAATCTCTCAAGGAGGATATCACCTTCGCCTTCAAATTGCTTTCTACATATGATGTTCCAAATATTATGACCAGTACCTGAGCAAGGCAACTAAGCATGCACAGAGATAAAAGAGCATCTAACAAAAACTAGTTCAGGCGCACCTGGGTGGTTCCGTCTGTTTGGCACCCAACTCGATTTCAGCTCAGGTCATGAGATTGAGCCTCATGTGGGGACTCTGCTCTAGCAGGGAGTCTGTTTGATTTTCTCTCCCTTTCCCTCTGCCTCTCCCCTATTTATATTTGCACTCTCTGTCTCGCTCTCTCTCAAATAAATAAATCTTTAAAAAAATAAATATCTGCTCATTTAATCCTCATCACAACTTTATCAAGTAACTACTATTATCAATCTCACTTTCAAGATGGGGAAACTGAGACATGGAGAGGTTAAGTGCCTTCTCTAAGTTACAGAGCATAGCAATGAATCTGAAAATTCTGACTCCATGCTCAAAAATAGTGTGCTCGCTCCTTCTTTTTTACCATACCTTTTTTATCCTTTCTTTCCTCCCTAACTCCCTCTCCCATCTCTATCCCTGGGTTAATTCCTAATGTTCAAATCATAACATCTCTCAGCCAAAATCATTTCCATTTGCATAAGACCATTTAATGTAATTGACTTAGATAGTCAAGGGAGTATCAGTTTCTCCTAATCTATTAGTCCAGAGGAAGGGTGGAATTCAAGCATGGTTTGATCCCAAATGTCCCAGTCATCAAGAGGAATGCCCTGCATCTCTGTGATTCTTTCAGCTCTATTCTTTCCTTGTGTCAGCTTCATTTTCAGGTTGACTTCCCTCAAGGAAGCAAAATGCTCTTCCATCCACATATTGCACCTCCCAGAGGAAGAAAGGGAGCCTTTGACCCAGCATCCCTCTCACAAGACAGATTCCTCTGCTGAACCAGTGGGTGAGGCCAAGGCTGGGATCAAGACAGTGTCTACTATCCAAGATTCACATGTGTGCCAGGGATAATTGGGGAGTGGGAGGGTAAGAAGTCTTCAGGACCCAGCTGAGGTGTCATGTCACCTCCTCCATGAGATCTCCCTTTTGGTTTCATCTTCTTCCATCTTTGGAAGAACACGTCCTTCCTCTGGATTCCCATTACTTCTGCTCTGCATTGCTCTGACAGCACTCACTACTTCATAATCTTCATTTTGGATTCCCTTTTGGATCATCTTCACTTGCTTCTCCAAAACAACTCTCCCCTATTCTCTACTCCTCTGTGCTACATTCTGTACCCCAGCAGATGGACCATTTCTCTTTTTAACCCATTCCCATCAGATTTTCTAGTCTACACCACTCAACTAAAATAGCTCTTGCCAAGGTCATGATGGCCTTCATCTTGCCAAATCCAGTGACCAGTTCTCAGTTCTCATCTTTCTCACCCTCTTGACAGCATTTGCCGTGGATGACCCCTCTCTCCTTCCAAAACATTGGCTTCCACTTTCAGATACCACATGCTTCTGTGTTGTCACATACTCCCCTGCTCCTTCCTAATGTCCTTTGCTGGCTTCTCCCCTTCCTATCCCACCTCTACCCAACCCTGCTCTCTCCATGAGGACCATGGTTTTGACAGTTGGCACATTCGCCTTCCTAAAACCACTGCTTCTGTGTCATGGCACCTCACTCACAGCTACCACTCTCATCAGAATCTGGAAACACCACCCCCTCCTCTTACCCCAGCAGGCCTGGAGGTGGTACAAGTTTCCCACTGTTGCTAGACACTGAATGCTTCTCCACCCCTTGCTGGCTCTCTTAATCCAGCCCACACCTCTATAGACAGTCCCTTCAATAGCTTTCTTCCCTAAATTCTTGGAGAGTGCTATCCCCTGCTAGGACCCTGACTAACACACTGCTTGATTTTGTTTTGCCGCTTACCTCCCATAGTAGCTTATAAGGCCACTAAGAACAATGTCTGTGTTTAATTCTTCTTTTCTCCCCAATAGTGCTTGCTATCCAATTGGGACAAATAAATGCTGAAATAAAATATTCTTTCTTATTAACTGCCTTCAACATGAACACAAAATGAAAGTGATATAAACATTAGAAAATAGACACACACACACATACACACACACACATACACACACGCACACATAACACATGCACACATCTGTCAGAAAGCAAAAGCAAAAGAATGAAATAATGCTAAGTGCTGACTTTATGGGTTTTGCCTGATTCCTCAAATTCACAGTTTATTCAAAATCCATATGGAACAGGCTTTTTCTTCTCCAAGCCCAGAAAAGAAAGACAGTTATTTCTGTTACAATAGAAATCAAAGTCCAAATAACTGAGAAGCAGGGAAGCCTCATGGCTGACCAACAGGAGGATCTAAGAAACAGAGGGTGCCAGAAATTGCATCCAACCCTATGCAAGAGATGGGTTTTTGGGAAAAAAGCTACTCTGTGGGGTCCCAACTTTTGGGAGTCTTTATCCTACTTTGCTTGTTTCTCTCTCTTCCTATTGTGAGCTACATTGCCACCCCTTCCCTAACAACCCTGATCCCACTGCTCCAATGCCAGCCAAGTGGGCCATATAAGGATTCAGGGCAATAAGGTGAAAGGAGAGGAAGAAAAAAGAAACCCCATCATCCCTCATCTGGCCCCAGTGGTGGTCTTCTTATCTGTCTCCCTAAGCCACAATCTTCAGGCCATCCTCTATCACCTATAGACATCCCCTATTCCCCAGGAACTGGACCGAAGTATTCTTTTGAAATAAAGAATATTCTGACTTTGATCTTCTATGGATCCAAGGGTCATCCTTAGACATCTGTATCTGCTTTTGCTTCTACGAATGAATCCAAGTATAAAAATAGACAGTGTTGTGTATGTGTTGGGGGGTGTGTGTAGATGATTACCTTTAATCTCTTTCTCATATTTCAAAAACCTTTAGAGACCTTCAAAAAGGATAACCTGGATGTCCAAGTGGATGACCAAACACCCTACCCTCTCAGTTCCTTGACCTCCTCATCTCCAATGATCTTCCTTTTACATGATAGCAAAGCCACCCACTCCCTGCAACTGCTCTACTTTTAAGATCGTCAGTCATGCTGTCTCTATGCAGACCTCATACTTTTCCGCCAATTTGCTCCATCTTTCTTCAATCTCACCAGCACTTCCCCCCTAAGAGTCCCCTTCTATTCTCTCTCCTCTGTATGTGCCTCTGATTCCATGGTTCATCCTTTGGGGAAGGCTTTTGCAAATATGGTAAGTTCCCTTGGTCCTTTGTCTATCTGTGATAACTCCCTGGCACTAAATAAATAAATAAATAAATAAATAAAATAAAACCATTAACCTGAAATGAACCTCACCCCTCAGCTCCCCCCATTCTGTTCCTGAACAACTGAATGCCACACATCAGTCAGACAGGAATCTTGCTAAATTCAAGGTCACCAATCTCAAGAGACTCTCAACATTCCCAGCATCAAGAAGTACTTGCAGAGGGGGAGAATGTATAAGGAAGAAACTGGGGATTCTGAAATGAAGACCGTGCAAGCAGGTAGAGGAGCCAACAAAGAGACAAAGCAGAAGAGAACCAGATGAGAAGAGTACACTGGAAGCAAAAAGAGAATTTCAACAAGGTTTGACTGCCATGCCTCTTGTGAGCAACACTTTTTTTTTTTTAAGATTTTATTTAGTATTTATTTGAGAGAGAGAGAGAGCACACAAGCAGTGGAGAGGGGGTGGAGAGTGAGCAAAACTTTTATTTTTAGGAGTCTGCCTCGTGCCACCCTGTTGATGACAACTGTTATGGATGAAGAAGCAAATTGTCCTGGGGACCCTTGGCATGTGCAAGTGTGTTGAAGTCAGGCTTTTGTTTCCTCGTCTGGTACAAAGGAATCTCCCCTACCTTCCCCAGGAGGATGTTGGGAGGATATGGGTGGGTGGGAAGCAACGGCATTATTGCAACAGTAATGAGTGTATGAGGTCAAGGCAAGGCTGACACTGTTCTCAATAAGAAACATTGTGATTGTGAACAAAGACTGTGGGTTTTTTTTTTTTTTTAATTTGTTTGCTCTTATTTTTTTGATGCTAGACAGTTGGAATGCCAAGGGCAGTTCTGTGCCAAGCCACAAAAATGAAAGGCTGGGATTTCCCCTAGGACATCAGCTTCCACACTAGCTAAAGGCCAGCACAAAATCTTCCCTAAGGTAGCAGTTTAGGAACTTCCTGTTGGTTTACATTTCAAACAGATTGTATTTAATTTTCACCTCACCAGTTAGTGCTCAGAGCGAACAGTGATATGGTCAGGAGACCGACGGATGGGGCATTCTGCTGAGAACTGAACCAGCGACCCCCCGGCTACTAGTAAGTACTGCTTGGTTTGAATGTTTTAGGTTCCCAAGGCTGTGGTAATCTGAAATATTAATTGAGCAAAATTGCTGTTTGGGGTTCTTGGTTCATAATTGTACAGTCAGAAGGAAATAAGACCTCTTGGTATCACACCGAACAAATCCCAAATGACGTTAAAATAAACAGGTTATAGGTAGTGATAGTGGGTCGATTCTCCTGAATAGATCAAAGAGATAAATCTGAAAGGCTTTTTTTGTTTGTGGGCAATGAGAAGAAATGCAAGCCGAACTATGAAAAGATTTAATTCTTCTTTCTTAAATAGGAAAAGCAAAGTGGTTCAGACAACTCTGAGGTTAGAATTCTGGCTCTGCTTCTTTTTAGTTATGTGGTCAAAGGCAAATTGCTTAGTATCCCTGATAACAGTTTCTCATCTGTAAAATGGGTATTACACCATTGTAAAAGTAGTTCTGTAGTATATGTAACAATATATGTGAAATCCATGTATTTTATTGCACCATTGTAAAAGTAGTGTCAGTTCTGTAGTATATGGAACAATATATGTGAAATCTATGTATTTTATACATATATATATGAAATTGAATGAGATTTCATATATAATGTAGAATTTTGTTTCTATAACATAAGCTTATGTTTGTTCTGCTTATGTTATAGAAGCAAAATTTATATAATAGGTTTCATATATAATGGATTTCCTGTATGTATACATAGATTGCAAATATGTAATATGAAATTCATACATATAATATGAAATATATGTCCTGTAGGAAATCCATTGTTTCTATACATACACAGTTGAGTCTTGAACAACATGGAGGTTAGGGGCGATGACCCCCCCCCCAGAGTGGAAAATCCACGGGTAACTTTTGACTCCCCCCCAAAACCACAAACAGCCTACTATTAACCAGGAGCCTTAGAGTTGGTTGACACAATTTTTGCATGCTAACACATATTAATATGTTAATACATATTATATGTATTATATGTAACATGCAAAATACAGATAAAGGGCCCTTGGCCTCCTCCCATCTTCCTGGGACTGCTCTGGCTCTGCTTTGCTTGATGCAGCCCTCTATTTTGAGTCTTGCTCTGATCACCAACACATCCCTGGTTGGAAAGATCTCCCCTGCCCCCAGGCCCTTCCCCTGTGGGGTCCCCCTTCTCGCGGGGTGCCAAGGTGGTCAAGGGATCTCCCCACAGCTACCAGGAAAGAGCTCCAGCTCTCGGGAGTCCGTTTCACCCCCAGAGCCAGGCAGGCACCTGAGATGGGTTAAAAGAACGGGGCTATGCCCTGGTCCTTGCTCTTGAGTTTCCCTCTGGAGAAAGCAAGTTCCTGGCGTGGAGGAGGGTTTATCTTATGCTTCCTCTTGGCGAAACAGGCTTCCTCAGCTGCATTGGGTCCATATCCTGCTGGTGCCCTGTCCTTATCTCTCCTCCTTGGTGCTGCTTCCCGCAGGGACTTTGTTGTCACAGTCCCTTATGGAGCAGGAAAGTCCAGGGAACAGGGCTCCTTCCAACACCTCCACAGAACTGCCCCTCGGTGAACACAAGTTGTCCGGATGTGACCTTGTTACTGTGGCGACTATCAGCCTCAGGAGCAGACTGGAAAGAGGAAGGCTGATAACCCATCGCAGGGACATTTGTGGGCACCGTCCTAAGGCTCCACGATCGAGTGGCTTATCAGTGAAGCACACTGTTGTTTGAGGACTAAGTGGCCTTTCACTCTTCCTTTTGACAGAGGAGAACAGACAGCCATCATGGAACCCAGACCTCAGAAGAGTCCAGGTACCCAGGGCGTATACTCTCTGAAGTAAAAAACTATTGAACGTGACAAACAATTCTCATCAAGCTAACCAGGATCCAGAAGACAGTTTTAGTGAGGCTAAGGGGTGGCATTCGGGGACAATGATTCTTGGTATGGAGAGTGTGGCAGGGGCTGTTGGATTCGGTTCATTATTTTGTAAGAGCTCACCTGTCTAGAAATTTGACATTTTCTGATTTTCATCAACCAGCTGTTCCATCTGTTGCTTGGAGATGTTACTCAAACACACACTAGACCAGAAAAGACTGAAGAGTATTTTGTAATTTATTTTAATTTTTTTTAAAAGATGCTAGCGACCCTAATCCTTTTTTTAATTTTTTAATTAACATATAATGTATTATTAGCCGCAGGGGTACAGGTCTGTGAATCACCAGGTTTACACACTTCACAGCACTCACCATAGCACATACCTTCCACAATGTCCATAACCCAGCCACCCTCTCCCTACCCCCTTCCCCTCAGCAACCCTCAGTTTGTTTTGTGAGATTAAGAGTCTCTTATGGTTTGTCTCCCTCCCAATCCCATCTTGTTTCTCCTCTTTTTTTTTTTTTAAGATTTTATTTATTTATTTGACAGAGAGATCACAAGTAGGCAGAGAGAGAGGGGGAAGCACACTTCCCTCTGAGCAGAGAGCCCAATGTGGGGCTCGATCCCAGGACCCTGAGACCATGACCTGAGCTGAAGGCAGAGGCTCAACCCACTGAGCCACCCACCCAGGCACCCCATATTTGGTAATTTAGTAGGAAATTCACACTTGAAGAAACTGCCTGAATTGTGGTCAGAGAGGTAGCTCAAGGTGTATTACTCAAATGTCCTTGTTCATGTTAACATGATTCATCGCAGGTGGGTAGTTAGGAAAGTTGAGTGTGGGGTGAAATAATTTAGAAAGCAAATTATCCAAATCAACTTGGAAGTAAACAGTTTTGAATACCTATTCAAAGCACCTATTATTAGTAAGGTCACTGTGCTTCATACTCTAGAGATTATACAGATTAAGTTATAGAGTCATTGCACTGGGTGAGTTTATAAATTTTGTTGGGAAGTTAAACACACGAGAGTATCTGTATTGAGAAGCTAAGATAAGCACAAATAATCAGTGTATGCTAGGAATCACGAAATAAAATGTGATGGGGATCTGAGGAAAAGCATACAAGTAGTTATGGGAATCCAGAGAGGTTTTATGAGAAGATATTGAAGCTGGACCCTACAAGATATGTAGGGTTTTAAAAGAGATTGGAAAAGGGCAGGTCTCAGCAGAGAGGGGTGGCATGAACAAAAAGCAGTGGGTGGGTTAGAGGCAGGGTGTGTCAAAGGACAACGGGTGTAGAAAGTAGGGCAGGGGAGAGTTGAGGATGAGGCCATGGCACTCTACTGTGCCTGACCTTGATCTCATAAGACCAGGAATCCTTGTAGCCTTTTGAGCAAGAGAAAGGCATCATTAGCTTTGCATTTTAGGCTGGTCGTATTTTTTTGAAATAGCTTTTTGTGGTGAAAATGGCATACAATAAACCGCACATATTTAAAATGTACAGTTTGATGAGTTTTGATATGTGTATATGCCTGGGAAATCATCACCGCAATCAGGATAATGAACATATATATCCCTCCTAAAAGTTTTCAGTTATTGATTTCCAGTTTGATTCCATGATGTTCTGAAAATATACTTTGTAAACCTTGGATCCTTTCAAATGTGTTGAGACTGGTTTTATGGCCCAGAACATGACCTGCCTGGGTACGCGTTGCATGTGCCCTTGAGAAAGGTGTTCATTCTGCTGTCGTTGAGTGTTGTATAAATATCAATCAGAACGAGTTTGTTGATAGCATTGAACAAATTGTCCAAGTCCAGTATATCTTTATGATATTCTGCCTATTTCTTTTTATCCGTTATGGAGAGAGAGGTATTGAAATCCCTGACTAATTGTGGATTTGCCTATTTCTCTATGCTGTTTTATCAGTTTTTGCTTCATGTATGATGAAGCTCTATTATTAGGTACGTAATTAGGATTGTTATGTCCTCTTGATTAATTGACCCCTTTATCATTATTAAAAAAAAAACCCTTTGATTGGGAGGGAGACAAACCATAAGTGACTCTTAATCTCACAAAACAAACTGAGGGTTAATGGGGGGAGTGGGGTTGGGAGGGGGGGTGGGATTATGGACATTGGGGAGGGTATGTGCTATGGTGAGTGCTGTGAAGTGTGTAAACCTGGCGATTCACAGACCTGTACCCCTGGGGATAAAAATATATTATATGTTTATAAAAAATAAAATTTAAAAAAAATGAAAAAAAAAAATAAAACAGAGCCATGATGGAAAAAAAAAAACAAAACCCTTTATCCCTGGTAATATTTTTTTGCTCTGAAATATGTTGTTTAAAATAGCCAGCCCAGCTTTCTTTGGTCTGCTGTTGGCATAGTATGTCCTTTTGCTGACCTTTTATTTATAACCTATTCATGTCTTTATATTTGAAATATGTTTCTTATAAGTACTATACAGGTTTTTTAAAAGTATTTGAGTATATAATTTTTAATTTTTGAATGTATTTTTTTTAAAATATTTTCCAAAAAAATGAAAAATGTGTTATATTTGAACATATTTTTTATATACTTATATATTTTTTATATTTGAAATACATTTCTTGTAAGTACCATATGGTTGGGTCTTGCTTTTTTGTCCACTCTGACTAATCTCTGTCTTTTAATTGAATTGTTTAGATGTGTATACTTAATGTGATTATTGAAATGATCAGGCTTGAGTCTATCATAGTGGTGTTTTCTATTTGTCTCATTTTTTAGTTTGTTCCCCTTTTTCTTCCTTTTTGCCCCTTTTTGAACTAATTGAGTATTTCTATGATACTATTCATCTTCTTTCTTGGCTTATTAGTTGTAACTGTTTTGTTATTTTAGTGGTTGCTTTAGGGCTGATAGTATGTATCTTTAACATAACCCAGTCTATCTTATTACAAGTGAAATTATACCAATTCACATACTATATAGGAATTTTACAAAAGTATACTTCTATTTTCCCCTCCTGGCCTTCATGCATTTTACTTATTGAAACTGTATTTTTCTTACACATATGCTACAACCTGCACAACATATTGTTAGTATTTTGCTTGAACAATCAGTTGAATTTTAAATGATTTAAAAATAAAAAAACAATTCAAATATTTACCTCTCCAGTTACCATTCAGTGTTCTTCATTTATTTATATAAATTCAGATTTCCAGGGGCAGCTGGGTGGCTTAGTCAGTTAAGTGTTTGCCTTCAGGTTGGGTCATGATCCTGGGATCCTATGATCAAGCCCCACATTGGGCTTCCTGCTCAGTAGGGAGTCTGCTTCTCCCTCTTCCCACCCCTGCTCATGCTCTCTCTCACTATCTCTCTTTCTCTCAAATAGAGAAATTAAATCTTAAAATAAAATAAAAAACAATTATTACAAAAAATATTCACATCAGAGAAAACATATGATAATTATCTTTCTCCAATTGACTTATTTTGCTTAGCATAGTACCCTCTAGTTCCATCCACGTCATTGCAAATGACAGGATTTCGTTAGGACAGGGTGTCCTGGGTAGGGAGGGAAGAAATGAGACAGGATGGGCCCGGGGAGGGAGACAAACCATAAGAGACTCTTTTTTTTTTTTAGATTTTTTTTTTTTTAATTTATGTGACAGAGAGAGAGATCACAAGTAGGTGGAGAGGCAGGCAGAGAGAGAGAGAGAGGAGGAAGCAGGCTTCCCACTGAGCAGAGGGCCCGATACGGGGCTCGATCCCAGGACCTTGGGATCATGACCTGAGCTGAAGGCAGAGACCTTAACCCACTGAGCCACCCAGGTGCCCCCATAAGAGACTCTTAATCTCAGGAAACAAACTGAGGGTTGCTGGGGGGTGTGGGAGGGGATGGGATAGTGTGGCTGGGTGATGGACATTGGGGAGGGTATGTGCTATGGTGAGTGCTGTGAATTGTATAAGACTGATGATTCAGAAACCTATACCCCTGAAGCAAATAATACATTTTATGGTAACTTTAAAAAAATAAAAGAAAATAAAAAGGAAAACAGGAAATAAAATTCAGATTTCTACTGATACCATTTTTTTTCCCAGCCAGAGGACTTCCTTTAATGTTTCTTACAATGCAGGCCTCCTGTTGATGAATTCCTTTAGCTTTTGTATGTCTGAAAAATGTCTTGAAATTGCCTTTATTTTTGAAAGATATTTTTGCTGCATTTAGAATTCTTGAACGACAGTGTTTTTCTTTCAGTACTTTAAATATGTTGCTCCACTGTTTTTTTGGCTTACATTGTATCTGGTGAGAAATCTAATATCTTAGTTTTTTTTTTTCCTTTTCCTTCTGTGTACATATTCCAAACACCACCACCATCCCTCCACCACCAGCTGATTTTAAGATTTTTTTCCTTTATCACTGGTTCTGAGCAGTTTGATTACGATGTGCTTTCATGCCATTTTCTTCATGTACCTGTGTTTGGGGTTCCTGACCTTGTTGGATCTGTGGATTTATAATTTTCCTTAAATTTATAAACTTTTTGGCACTATTTCTTCAAATGTTTTCCTGTCCACTTTCCCACTTAGGGATTCTATTACTTATATTGTAGGCCACTGAAATTGTCCCACGGTGCACTGCTGCTCTGTTAATGTTTTTTTATTCTTTTTCCTCTGCATTCATGTCGATAGTCCCTAGTACTTTGTCTTCACGTGCACTAAATCTGCTGTTCATGCTATCTGTCCTGTGTTTTTGTCTGTCTGTTTGTTGCTGAGACATTGCAGTCTTTACCTTTAGAAGTTCACTTTGGATCTTTTTGATATCACCTGTATCTCTACCTAATTTCTCATATCTATAAAGCACAGTTATAGTAACTGATTTATGGCTTTCTCTGGTTATTGGAACATCTGTGTCAGTTCTAGGCTCATTTCAATCAATTATTTTCCCAATTATGGGCCATGATTTTCCTGCCTCTTTGCATAGTTGGTAGTCTCTGATTCATTGCCGGACATTGAAAATTTGACCTTGTTGGGTGCTGCATATTTTTGTATTTCAATAAAACCTTGAGCTTTGTCCTGGGAGGCAGTTAAGTTTTTTGGAAACAATGTGATCCTTTTAAGGAACAGTCCTCAGCCTAGAGATAATTATCCCTCACTACTGAGTCAAGACCTCTTGAAGCACCCTACCCAATGCCCCACAAATTATAAGTGTTACCAGTCTGGCTGGAGGGAACAGTTAATTCTTCTGGTTCTGTAAGAGCACCAGACACTGTTCCCTCTAATTTTTTCTAGTGGTTCTTTGGCCTCAGGTAGTTTCCTCACACCCACATATTGATTTATATTCTTGAATACTTAAGAACTTGATGCGTGTTTCTGTGATTCTTTGTGTGAAGCTCTTCACTCTCTCTTCCCTCTCCAGCACTCTGTCCTGTGAACCCTAGAGCCTTGATCTCCCAGAACCCTTAGCTCTGTCTCCTCAACCCAGCCATCGCCTGGTTCCACCTCAGTTCCCCTTTCCTGTGCTGTAGCCTGGAGTCTCTCTCAAGGGGATTGTAGGACTTACTGGGATTGTTTCCCATCTCTTACGGATCAGTGACATTAGCTGCCCATGCTCAGTGTCTTGAAAACCACTATTTTATATCTCTGTCTGGTAGACCCAGTCTCTGTTTTTCTGTCTTTGCCCAAAGACCTAGATCAGTCAGATTTGGTGTTTAGTCTCAAGGGTATGTCAGGAATGGATTTGAAGATGTCAAGACTGGAATTAGGGCGTCCAAATGGACAGCTACGGAAACAGTACAGTGAAAAACATGCAAAGTTCTCGAATTCACACGAACTGAAACATACTGAAGCGTCTGAAGATCTTGAAGGCGGTGCTGATAGGAACAGGGAAATAGGGATGGATCCCAGAAGTATTTGGGAAGTGAAACAGGCATGATTTAATCATTGACTGGCCATAAGGCTGATGGAAGGGTGAGGGCTGGTAATTCTTCAGCATCAGTTCTGGAGAAAACAGTACCATTGCCATGGTCAACAAACACTGTCAGAGGTTTTGTGCCCTGGAGCTGGTAGTCTGTGTGAATACTGGGGACACCCTGGGAATGTCTAAACTGGGCAACGTCTTCACAGATGTTTACATTACTTTATTATTATTTTTTTATTTATTTGACAGACAGATCACAAGTAGGCAGAGAGGCAGGCAGAGAGAGACAGGAGGAGGAGGCAGGCTCCCTCCTGAGCAGAGAGCCCGATGCGGGACTCGATCCCAGGACCCTGAGATCATGACCTGAGCTGAAGGCAGAGGCTTTAACCACTGAGCCACCCAGGTGCCCTTACTTTACTTTAAGATTCTGCTACTTGTAGGGACACCTGGGTGGCTCAGTCAGCTGGACATCTGACTCTTGATTTCAACTCTGGTCATGATCTCAGGGTTATGAGATCGAGTCCCATGTCTGGCTCCATGATGGGTATGAACCCTGCTTGAGATTCTCTCTCCCTCTCCCTCTGCCCTTCCCCACCTTAAAAAAAAGATTCATCTAATTGTATACAATGTTATTAGAGACTTCCAACACCAAATTTTCATAAAATACCTACATCCCTTGAATCCTCTAAATTTAGTACCACCAAAGAGGACCTATGTTATAGGCAGATGAGAGACTGGTTTACCGTGCAAATGACAAAGGCTAAAGTTTCTTCTATTATTAATAATAGCTACTCTTCAGTGAGCCCTACTGTGTGCCTGGCCCAGTGCTGAGATATTTCCATGTATTAACTCCTTCAGTCCTCACCACAAATTCGTAAGGTCAGTTCTATTGTCTCTATTTTACAGATGAGGAAACAGAGAGATGGTGATCCAAGGTGCTCTACAAATACTTGTTCAGTAAATAAACCTGTGTTCATCCAAGGCCACATGATGATTTTAAAGAAGAGCTAATAGCAATATTGTTTCCTTCTCTTTTTTTCTTTTTCTTTTCCTTTTCCAGTGTGTGTGGGGTGTGTGTGTATAGGGATGAGGGATGGGAAGCAGACAGAGTTGCTTCAGAGGGACGAGAGGGAGGCAAGGTGAGGACAGCTGCCTAAGAATTACTCAATTCTGTGGACACCTGGCTGGCTCAGTTGGAAGAGTATGTGACATCCCAGGGTCATGAATTTGAGTTGGATGTAGAGATTACTTAAACTTTTTATTTTTTTTAAGATTTTATTTATTTGACATAGAGAGAGAGACAGCAAGAGAGGGAACACAAACAAGGGGAGTGGCAGAGGGAGAGGGAGAAGCAGGTTTCCCACTGAGCAGATAGCCCAATGCAGGGCTCGATCCCATGACCCTGAGATCATGACCTGAGCTGAATGCAGACGCTTAATGACTGAGCCACCCAGGTGCCCAATAAATAGACTTTCTAAAAAAATGTTGAAGAAGGGACACCTGAGTGGCTCAGTCGGTTAAGGATCTCCCTTCAGCTCAGTCATGATCATAGGGTCCTAGGATGGAGCCCCACCCAGGGCTCCCTGCTCAGTGGGGAGCCTGCTTTTCCCTCTGCCCCTCCCCCTGCTCCTGCTCCCTCTCCCCCTTTCTCTCAAATGAATAAATAAAATCTTAAAAGAAAAAAAAACTATTCTAAAAAAAGTGTAAAAAAAGAATTACTAGATAGACGATAGCATAATAGCCCCATCAACTGTGCTACCTAATCCTGACTCTGTTTCCACTTAATATAAAAGCTCTAACTCTTTAGTAAAGTCTGTCTTTTATAAAATCAAGGACAAACTAGAACAGCCTGGATGTGAAAGCAAAACCAAGCTCTTTTTGTTTTTTTAATAAATTTTATTATAACAACATTATGTTTTTCTAAATAATAAAAGTAGTGCAGATTTCTGGAAGACATTTTTGAAAATACAGGGGGAAAAAAAGACCCTATACATTTCAGTACTTACTGAGAAGCAGTTAATATTTTGGAAACCTTGTGATTTAACCACTCTGACACCTCATTTTCAATAGCAGGTGGTTTTGCTTTTGTTTGCTAAGCCAAGGCGAGGCAGAATTACCCTGCTCCTCAGCCTGGTTCTTCCAAGAGTAGAGACAAACCTTGGCTCACAGCTAGAGAGCCAGCAAGGTGCCCCCAGACGCTAGAGCTAGACATTAAGGAGCTTCCACATGTCTTCTGAAGGAAGGCCCTGATTGTGGACGAGTAAGAGGAACCGTGGTGGTCCTTTGTCTTCTGTTTTCCTGGCCCCATTACAGATGTTCTTTCCCATAACTGAATAATTTGCAGACCTTTCCAGAGGTAAATAGTGTTTTCTGATTGCAGCAGTTCTCTTTTCCAAAATTTACAGGGAAAAAACACTGAATCTGTTCACTTTCTTTTATTAGGCAAACCATTGGCATTTTATTATGAAAATGAAGTCTGCAAACAAGATTATTTTATTAAATCCCCACCTCCTCAGCTTTTCTTCTCTGCTGTAAGTGTGCACCATGATTTAACAGGCCTCCCACAGGCTTGTGAGCATTTTAAAAATCCTTTCTTTTCTTCCGAGATTTAACTAAGATGCAAAATGGTTTCTTTTTTTTTCAGTCTTCTTGGAAAAGGCGGTTTTTCATTCTTTCCAAGAGTGGGGAAAGGAGCCTTCGTCTTTCCTATTACAAAGACCAACATCGCCGAGGGTCCATTGAAATCGACCGGTGTGTATCCAATTGAGAATACAAACAAGTTGCCTGCAAATCGAAATTTAAATTGACTGAAAGAACCAAAGGCTTCACACTCAACAGTAGTTGTTGCTGAAAAGAAGTTAAAATGAGGAACATTTTTGAGTAAAACATAGCAAAATACTTATTTTGTATTGTATACTATAGTTCATAAGTTATTACTCAATAAGCATCTAGTTACAAAAGATTTTGATTCACTAATTTATGGATGAGGGCTGATAAAATCATCACTTCATAAAGTCAACATGGATTTTTTTAAAGTATTTAGATTGGCTTTTTTTTTGTCTTTGCTTTCAGAAATTTGTACAAAAAGAAAAGTAGAAAACATGATACTTTGTAGAACAAAGACTCTAACCGAAAAAAGAATCTCTGAATTAAGTTTGAGGCCAAGTAAAGTATTCTCTATCGGTGGTGAACCAGATCTAAACGTCTTTTCTGAAATTATCAGACATTGATCAAACAGATCTAAATTTTATTCACTTTGAATCCTAATATGAAACGCTAATCTTCATGTTCGAATCTGTTTAACACTTTGTGTCTGTATCTGACAGGAATTCCAGTGTAGAAGTTGGCATACATGGCCAGGAAAAAATGCAATCTGTACAGAAGATGTTTAAATGTCTCCCTGATGAGGTGATGTCCATACGAACTACTAACAGGGAATACTTCCTCATTGGCCAGGACAGGTAAGTCGTAAGACAGCACAGAGTGTTTCCTGTGCGCCCAGTAAAAAATAGACACACAGACAAATGAAACATTATAAACCGATAAACAACACCCTTTGATCAGAAGCCCATGGCTACACCCTTCAAGACCATCTTGATAGTCTTCCCCATTTGTGACAATATCTTGAAAAATCCCAGTATTCGTTTCCTAGGGCGGCCATACCAAAGGACCACAAACTGGGTGTCCTAGAACAACAGAGATGTATTGTCTCACTGTTCTGGAGGCTAGGCATCTGAAATCAGGCTGTCCCAGGGCCATGCTCCCTCTGAAGTCCTAGGGAAGTTCTCTTTCAGGTCTCTCCTAACTTCTGGTAGTTCCTGGACTCGTGGTAGCAGAACTCTAAGGTTCACACAGCATTCTCCCTGAGTGTGTGTCTCTGCATCCAAACTTTTTATAAGGACGCTTGTTTTATTGGATTAGGAGGCCAGTATGATGTCATCTGAACTAATTACAGCTACAACAACACAACCCGATTTCCAAATAAGGTCCTATCCTGAGGTACTGGGGGTTGGGACTTCAGTATCCAAATTTTTGAGGGGACACAATTCAACCCATACCCCTATCACCATCACCCCAGATGCACTTCATGTGAAAGGACCCAATACACTCAGGGATGCCTGGGTGGCTCCCCTGGGTCAGCGTCCGGCTCTTGATTTCAGCTCAGGTCACAATCTCATGGGTTGTGAGAATGAGCTCCCTGTGGAGCAAGGAGTCTGCTTGTCCCCCTCTCCCTCTGCCTCTTCCCACCAGCCCCCAACCCGCTCTCTCCCTCTCTTAAATAAATAAATAAATCTTAAAAAAAAAAAACAACAAACAATTCACAAACAACTATCCAAGCCGCCTATGTTAGGGAGGGGCAGTACTCATCCCTGAGGGGGTCTTCAGTTTTTAAGAGGGGCTCCTGGGGCTAGCAAAGTGCCTAATGGATCCTTTATAGATGATCATCTGCTTGGCAGGAAGGCCAGGGTCAGGGGAGGAAGAGGAGGTAGCGAACGCCCTAAGTTATGAAGACCCTTGATCTGTTGCAGATGAAGCCCAAGGCCAAAGGCTCTCTTTTTACATCATCGTGAAAAGTCAATAGAAAAGACGATGTGATTTATATAAATGCATTCAAACCCATTCTTCATAAACACATGCCTTCCCCGAAGGGAGGCATACCAGAATAGCTACACAAAAGTGGCACTGACAGGTGAAGGGGCTCGCTTAAGAGCACAAAAGAAATCAGTGTCAAAGCCAAGAGCTCCAAACCCTGTGATTATTACCATTATTTTCCAGCATTCTTCCCCCATTTCCCTGCGCTCGCCTCACAGAGGCGGCGTGAAGATTAATTCTAGTGCACAAGTGTGGAGGTGGTGAGGAGTCCGTGGGTCATTGAAGCTACTTCAGAAAAAAATCTTTATTTCCCCGGTACCTGCTCCCACTGCCTGTTCCAACCTTAATAAAAGAACCCTTCTCTGGTTCAAAAGGAACACAGGTGCTATTGTTGCCACACACCAGCTGCGAGTTTATTCCTATCGACAGGGAGAAGATTAAAGACTGGGTCTCCTTCGTGTCATCATTCTGCCTCGGGGGAGAGACAGCACGCCACAGCCCACAGGTGACTCCCTCCCTCATGAAACGCCAGGGCACACGAGCACACCCTCTTTCACGAGGAAACAATGGTAGCTTTTTCTTTTCCTTCTCAGCCCCTGGCACTAATATGAGGAAGAAATAAGTGGGAGAATGTACGTCCTTGTCATTTTTATGAGTAACAATAGGAAGAAATACTTTTGTGTCTTGCAAGACACTTCAGGTCTTCATTACTGGGGCCGGAGGAGTGAAGGGGAACTGTGGCATTATAGGAAGAGTCGCTGAAGCTAGAGTATTTTCCATCATTGTTATGCTAGGTGCATAACGGCTACCTTTTGAATGACTATGTCTAGGGTGGTTTCTGTAAAAATGCTTTTTCCTATCTCTTGCGTTTTCAATGCAATATCTCTTTCATGTAAAGACTAATAGGTTTAAGTGTTTCATTTATTTCCCGAGAACCTTCGCGAATTTACACGAGTCCTTTCTTAGGGCAGACCTTTATAAATGAAACTCAGTCTCTAGGCATTGTTTTGACGTGTTTTCTAAGTTGTTCCATGCTGACAAAGAAAGCGGAGGCCAAGGAGGAAGGAAAGTGAGACGGGTCTATGAGTAAAATGATCAGAGCCAAGGGGTGGGCTGCAGAGAGGGGTCGCTTTGGAAAGGTGGGTCTAGGGAAACTCAGGGCATCTGAAGGCCAGGCTGGAAGTCCTCAAAGGTTTGGAAGCGGCAGAGAGGCACGATTGCGTCCTGTCTTAGTGAGAGAAGGCTGGCTGGGGTAAAAATGTTCGTGGTAAAAGACAGGAGGTAGGAAGCCCAGACACAAGGCTGTTGTTTAATTCCAGGGAAAAGATCAGTCGTGCCCTGATTGTAATATTTCTTTTCCGTAAGCAGGAGAAATTCTCACTGGGCGGTAAAAGGCCCTCTTCAGACCCCAGCCCTCTCCTTGGTCCTTCCAGCACATCAGAAGCGGTCGGCCCCACCACACCAAGAAACAGTCTTCCAGACATGGTAATCAGACTCCCGTCTCTCTCTCTCCTTCTCAGACGCCCTGCCTGGGGGTCCGCGGATGCTTCAGAAGTCTTACCAATGTATCTGACACTTTGCTCTAAGCCTAACCCACCATAAGAATGACTCTTAGCACTAGTGATGGTCTTACGTTCAGTCTGTTTCTTGTACCACAATGAGTCTTACTGCTCGCCCTGCCTACCTCGAAAGGTACTCATTCTGGGCGCCCCTCGCCCTGCATCCACGTATGTGAGCTGGGGAGCCCTCCAGCTAACCAAAAGCCTGGCTGCCAGCCTTTTCCTCCCTTTCACACAGAGGGCACAGAGTACCTCTGTGAAAAGATTCCTGAAACACCACTTGGTTTTCTGCCCTATCATCTGTACTTCTGGGGGAACACCAAGGTTCTTGTTAACTTCCTTCACTTACCCAGATCAATCTTGCTTCCCTGTGTGTGTGTGTGTGTGTGTGTGTGTGTGTGCTTGTGACTTCGTCTTTCTTTCTAGTGAAATCCATTTGAGGGGAAAAAATGCACCTGGCCCTTGAAAGTGATTTGTGATTATACTCTCTGGTTTGCTCAGATTTGTAATCTTCCCAAGTCTGGATAAGTGGGCTGAGTAATTGTTTGTTTGCTTGCTTTTTTTTTCTGCCATGGATACCTTTTGTCCTTCAGAGATGTAACCATTGACTTTCCCTTCTCCCTGGGTACGCAGCAGGTCTGAATACAGCATAAGCTCCTGTTCTTTCTAGCTGGAGCTCTCCAACTATTTTAAAAGCTTTCTATAGTGAATCAAATTCACCAGGCCAAACACCTCATTTGGTATTTGCAGGAAATGGGTTGCAAAAGATAACTCTTCTCAGTAAATGCCTCTTGTTTTTCACGCACAATACCCCTCTCCCTAAAGATAATGTGGGGGTTGTCTTGCCTTTTCACACGCTGTGTTCCAACTCCGTGATTTTTCAGTCAGCTCCGGTTACAAGTACTGTCTGCCTTGTTGGGTCTTGTTGTTGCCCAAACTAAGTGGGAACCTTCTTCACCCCCAGCGCGGCGTGGTCTGGTTTCATGATCTTGGTACCAAAGAAATGGACACAGTTGAAAGGATTATGTTTTTAAAATCCCTTTCCTTCAAGGACTTCTTAGAACACATTCAAGACCTTTTCAAAACCCCCTGCTCCCAGGCATTGTTCTTAGAAGAATTAAGTTGTACTTAGAACAATTCTCCTGCCACTCACAGCAGCTGCTTCAGTAGACTATCCTGTATCTGCTGGGGAGGGAAGGTGGTAGTTGGTTGAACCTGCATTACCGTGAAGACTATAATTCATGCTATCACATGATCCACATGAGCAAATTCCATTTCTATGGAAACAATAGAAGTATGTGAGCAGAACACAAAAGAGGAATATTGAGCAGGAAGAGGGAAGGTGTGGTGCCTTGACCATGGGCTAATTACCTTCTCAGATGGCGTGAAAACTAGTAGGTGCGGGTGGGGACCTCCATGGCAGAGCTAAGTGCCTTTAGAACACCACTCCCCCAAACTCCCCCAGCCCCGCCAGAGTGAACCACTTGTTCTGAGTTACAGATCCCAATTGTAGAGAAAGCCGGAAAGATGGGCTTATATTTTTATATCACCAAGGTGATCCAGATGCAAGAGGCAAGTTCAAGTTGTGTGGGCTTCTTCTTGCAACCTTGGAAGATCCTCTGATCTTCTCACCTCAATTAATCTAGGATGGCTTTTCCAAAGAGCATATGGTTTAATTCTGTCCCCTGCAAAAAGAAGAGAAAGAAAGAGAGAAAGAGAGAGAGAGAGAGAGAAAGGAAGGAAGGAAGGAAGGAAGGAGGGAGGGAAGGAAGATAGGAAGGAAGGAAGAAAGGAAAGAAAGATGGAGAAAGGGAGAAAGAAAGAAAATAATTAATTCTGTCTTCATCTCTTTATCCAGCATTTAATGGAAAAAAATTCTCCAGGACTCAGACAAGCCCATTTACTACATGATTTCTTGTCAGAGACTACAGAAGATACAGAAGAAGAGAGTTATTATGTTAGTCCTAAAAGCATTCTTTTAGAGGTAACCCCCTCCATCCATTAACCCTTCATTCCTTGTACCGATATTTGTTGGGCCCTGGCTGCGTGCTGTTCCTGGGGGACTAGGCGGGCTTCTGTGGAACAGAGCGATGAATGGGGCTCAGGTGATGTGTCACAGTGTTGACTCTTGAATAGGAGCACCCAGGAGACCAGACAGGAAGGACTCCATGCTGATGAGAGATGCTCGGAAAATGCATGGAGTGCACGAGGGAAGGAAGGCAGGGGAGGTGATTTCCAGAGAGAAGACCACGTAAAACTGAACTAGTAAGGCTGGTAAAACTGAGCTAAAAGGCCATTGGTAAAAAAGATCCCCCTCCCTGCCCCCGCAAATTAAGTACAAAACTGTGCAGTAGAAGTTCAGAGAAGGAGGAGATACATGGGTGAAGGCAAGGAAGTCAGAGGGGGCTGTGGGACCTCACAAAGCCTGAACACAGCTTCGTCAGGCCAGAGGGCAAAGGTGCCATCCAGGTGAAACCAGGGGCCAGAAAGTTGGCCCTGGAAGTCCACCATTTATAGGGGAGCAGCGGAAAAACTGATTTTTCCAGTTATGGGTTCATGATGAATCTGTTAGGCAGGCAGCTAAAAGCCCTCAGGGTTCTGGATCAACCATTTCCCCCAATGGCTTAGTCATGAGGGGTTTGTGGAGAGCCTTTGGGGCTGGGGGGGGAGGATGCATTTCTAGGACTTCTGCAGCCCCCTGCAACCCTGTGTTGTGTGGGAGTCTGGCCCAGCCAGGTGACAGGGTCCTCCAGCAGCACCGGCTGGGAAAAAGAGTTCATATCATTAAGTGCCTGGGGATGAAACAGAAGAATAAATGCAGTCCAGCATTGCAGTCCAATAAAACGCTATATTGGGAGCATGGGGGAATCCAGGAGGAGGAAACAGACTTGGAGTTGGAGAGGCTTTCCGAGTCCAGTCTCCTAGAATGAAGGCCACTGTTCATCCCGTGGGGGATGTACTTACCATTTCAGGGCCCAGGGCCATCATGGAAGGGTTACGAGGTCCCTGGCTATTGGTAGACTTGCGTTTACGTCCATTCTTCTTGTCTGCAGTTGAATACTTTCGTCGCTTCCGATGACTCTGGTGAATCTGCCGAGGCTGACAGTCTAGACCAGTTCTCCGAGACAACTGAGAATCACTACATGTCAATGAAATCCTAGTATGTAAAATTGCCGTGTTCTTAAAACTGATTTTTAACCAACGCACTCTTTTAGAACCATTACTGTTGACATATTAATTCAAAAGCGTTGCCATAGACCAAGTTACTCTATTATTCCATAGTCTCAAAACAAGAAGACATGAGAATGATTTCTCTACCTCCTGAAAACCATTGAGTGATCACCTCAGACCATATTCTAGCTCCTGGGGAACTTATTTTCTATTCTGAATGTATACTCGCATTCTCCCTTCTGCGCTCTAAGTCCTCCCAATGTCAAGGGTTATTTTGACGCCATTTCCATTTTCAGAAGAAAAGTCTGTCAAGTTTGATTCTGTGATTCTGAAGGCTAGGCATACTTGAAGACCTTGTTAGTTTTCACAAGGCTCCTAGCTACTGAAATCTGATTCACAGACCATAGAAAGCTGTAAACAGACCTGCTGAAAAAGGATATTGTATTAATTTCTCATACCGTAGTGTTTTCAGAGAGATGTCCCACGAGACTGCTGATAGCAACAAGGAATCCCAGGCCCTTCCAGAGATCCAGAACGGGGGACTTCACTTACAAGAACAAGACTCACAAAGTGACTCTTGTCTTCCACCTGCCAATATGGAAGCACAGACCGTGAATGACAAAAAGGGGTTGGCCTCGCTTACTGTTGTGCAATTATCTATTCTAATCAAGTAAAGTTCTAATTTCTAAAACTTTACGGGCCCTTAGAGCAAGGCAGCTTTCCTTTTTTAACGGAGAATTCGAAATTTAAAGTAATTCCTAAAAATCTCCAAGTCAGCCAACATTTTGACCAGCTTCCCCTTCTCACTGATGAGATGGACAGTGAGTAACAGAGCTAGAAGTAAAGCGGTCCCCTGGGCTGTGGGTAACATTTTCAAATATTTCTAAAAATTCTCCCCTGGCTAGTATTTCAGGCCCTGGAACTTTGGATCATGCTGAACTAAGTAGCGTGTCCCCCAATGTCTACAGTTAAAATTACGGGCACACAAGTTGCATGGTGTCTGGTTATAGAATGGGAGGGGGAAGGGATAGGCTTTGAGTGATGCCAAGAGGTATCTGATGAGATTGTTCTCCATTTTCACTCTTCCATTGTCGTTTCTATGAATCATTTCCAGTGGAGAAATGAGCAGATAGATGTGATATATTATCAACTTAGTCCATTTTTTACTCTACTATCTGCCATGCACTACCACATTCCAAGAGGGGTAGGGAGGGCATTAATGAATAACTTAAATTCATATTCTGCAAATCTGGGGGGCAATCTTTAACTGGAAAATACCATCTTAGATGTAATAGGGCAAAGTCTATTCAGGAAGTCAGTTCAGAACCAGAGACTATGGCCTGATGTGACTTTTACAAACATTTTATCTCATAGTAACATCCCTGATGAAGGCCAAGTGGAGCAACTAAATGTGTTCCTTTCTCCTTCCGACATCATCAATTATCTCACTCTCACAGAAGCCGCAGGTCAGATATGGTAGGTGGGAGATCTGAGGGTTCTTGATTATAAATGGGGTGGGAAGATAGGGAGACAACAATTATCTTGAAACTCTGTATGTGGCAAAACAGAGAGCTTGGATGGTAGTGTTGCTGTTATCACCAAAGGTCTTTGGTTAGAGGCAGAGAGAAGGGTGTTGCTGTGGGTTGCAGATAGGAGGACCCAAAAGTCCAGTAAGCAGCAAGATTCTGATACTTGGAAGGTAAAAAAAAAAGCAGAAAGGAATAGGTATGGTCCGGGGAAATCATTCTGAGCAATGACTATTAAGTCATTAATCACTGAGCAATGACTATGGGATAAATGAATGAAGTGTGTGAAGTCAACAAGAATCTAAGGTCTAAAAGAAAAGGTAGGACCAAGGTCAAAGACTTCCAGACACCTCTTGGTCAGGGACAGAAGCAAAAGAGAGAATTTTCTTAAAATCAGCACTGTTTATTTGATTCTAAATCCTTTTAAAACCTTTGCAATTTGTTTGGGTGGAAGATTACATTTTTACAAGGGAAGAAACCCCTTTAATGTAAAGGGGTGACAAGTTCTGTAAGAGGGCAGGAAACGCGATCTTCCACTTTTTCAAATTTCCTAACAATCTCAGAGGTTTTGTAAATACTTGACTGAAACTGTTGACTTCTCTGTGCCTGGGCTTGCTCATTCCTCCATTCACGTATTGTTCATTAGATAGTCATTGTGTAATCATCACGTGCTCCCTTTCAGTAAATACCTATTAAACATCTTCTTTTTATTTGGAGTTACGTGGCTGTAAAAAAATATTTTTTGAAGGTAGTGCTATCCTTCTGGGGTCTCATAGCCTGGTGAAAAAGACAGTCACATAAACAAGCAAATATAAAATGCATGTGATTTAAATATACAAGGAATGGGTGTTCCCACCGTGCAATAGAAGTCCTGGGGCAGGGAGAGTCATTAAAGGAAGGGGAATGTAGGAGGACTGTGTAGAGACGGTATGATTAGAGTTGGTTTTGGAAGAAGGGTAGGGTCCAACAGTAGTGACAGATGAGCGAATATTCCGAAAGAAAATGGAGTTTGTCTGCATCAGATGTGGTGCACAATAGCTTAAGAAGCTTGTGGTGGTCATCAGGGAACCCTAGTCTGTGTCCTGTGGGCACAGTCTCACACTTGAGTTGAATGCCGTGTCTCATTGCAGTGTGGCTCAGTGGCAAGGCCCCGCACGCCTGGGATGCTTATTTTTTCACGGAGATCATCTTTTGGCCGTGAACGACCTGAAGCCCCATGGCCTGGACGAGGCCTCCTTGTTTCTCAGCCGGTCTGTCCAGAAGGAGGTGAGTCCTGCTGCCCGGCCCTGGCCAGGAATAAGACCAAGGTCTTGGGTGGAGTCTAAACCGTGCATGCAAATACATGCAAATGACAGAATGTTATTTTAGAAGCTTTTCAAAATTGTTTCATATAAAGGAGTATTTGGAGAGGGCCAGGGGTAGGAGACTGAACATCAGGGTCCAAGACCTCAGACACAGCATGAGGTGGTGGAAGGAGCTTGCAAGGGAATCCCATTGGCTCAGGGTGTGTGTTCCATTTCCTTTAGCCAATTTGTGCCTCAACTTTCTCTTCTGCAAAATTGGGGGTAAGGCTCATACTCATTGTTGGAGAATTAACTGTCATAATTGGTATCGCGTGCTTACAAATGGGACTGGCCCACCCTAGGCACTCTGTTGCGTTTACTGCTTTTCCTTCTCCAACTATTGGCTGGGGCATGTGGGCCAGGGTACCCTTTTTAACTCTTCAGGCTCCTTATCTCAGAAATTGGCCTCACCATATCTTCCTCACAGAGTTATTGGAAGAATTAAACAGAACGTGTGAGTGTGTATTAACTATGTATGTTCTCAAAGGGCTAGCCATGGCTTTGCCTGCGGGTGCTGGTTCGGTGGGGCAAATTCCTTCCCCGGCCTATGTTTATTTCTAACATGCCACATAACCTTGGGAAAATCATTTTCTTCTCTGGGCTTCACCTTTGTCTCTCTACAGTGAGATAGTTGTTTTTCAACCTGTGCTCCTCGGGCCCGTAAGAGACAAGGACTTGAGGAAGAGGTGAAGAAGGGGACAGTATGCATATAAGACTTCAACAAGAATCATCTACATTTGTCATTTATCTGCTTCCTACATTGGCTCTGTTAGCTCTCCCGGAAGAAACGTTTCCTTGGCTTAAAATTCCTGAAAACCACTGTGCTTGATGATCTCTCCAATTTCTTCCAGGGTTTACAATTCTTATCTCTTCTGCATTACACAATAACCTCATTGGTTAACCAAAAAACATATCCATATTCTCTAAATGGAGAAATCCAGCAAGGATGAGGGAATTATCTAAGGGACATAACTAGTTAGTGGCAGGGCAAGGACTCATTCCTCCCTTCAGTCACTCATTCACCATTGACTGAACGCTTCCTTTATGCTGGATCCTGGGCTAAGTCCTAGAGCTACATAAATGGCCTCAGCCAAAGCTTAAGGAGCTCACATATTATGGCTCAAATAGGCACATTATATGCTAGTTACAGTACAGTGTGTGCTTTAAGATGTGAACAGAGGGCGGGAACAGAGAGGGAAAAGGAGTGAATCTATCTGAGGAAGACCAGAAAGGCGTCTCAGAGAAGGTGGTGTCTGGCTTGGGTTTTGAAGACCGGAAAGGAGTTTGGAAAAGAAGCAGATGTCAGGGGCTCAGTCCAACAACCAGGGGACTATAATGTATTTCCTTGGCCAGAAACCTACCCTGTAGCCAAGTGTTCAATATAATCTTCTGAATGTTACCAAACAGTACTCTGATCCAAAGAGCTAGGCATCAGCTCTGAAGCCAAAAAGAGGGGTGGGTGGGGTGTGGAGAAGGGTTTGCTGGGGAGCAAATGCAGGAAGTTCACTTGGGCACTCCTAACTACAGAGTACCAACACTTCCTTTCTAGACTGTGAAGCATCTTGTGTGGGAGGCGACAACAGCATTTCTCCTGTGCTGACTTTGCCTGTCCCTTTCTATTGGATAACAATTAGATGTTATGGAGAAATATGGGACGTTCGCCAACATGGTTATCTGGGAGATCAAAAACTTCTACTTTCCCATCCCCCCTCCCATTCCTGACTATTGTTTATGTTAAAATGGATGTCCAGTTCTCTTTAAAAATTCAAATAGCTGGTCCTTGGAAGGGAAAAGAATGTTGGAAGGAGGGGGATGTGTGGAACCAAAGGAGGGGCAGCCAAGGGCCCTAATTGTTTTAGAGCATTTGGACTGATCCCATCCACTTTCCCTCCTGTTGGGCTACAGTTGAGAGACGAGGAGGTTGGGTTGAGGACAGGGTAGGGACATTGAGAGAAGGCCATGTGAGATTTAAAGGGTTGGGGGGAAGGGGTGTGTATAAAAAAAGAAAGGAGGAGATGCTAGATTATAGGGGAGACACATCAAACTTTAATTTCCCCCTGATCTTGTCCGGGGCTTGTCCAGCCTTGTTTGTGCTGGTTTTTTATGGTTTCATCTGGATTTTCTAGTTTCAAGAAGCTTTTACATCCTGGTACAACTGGGCCCATCGGGTCTACTCTACAGGCTCAGGCTGGCGGCCGCCAGAGAGTAAAATCCATCCTCCACCTGACTATGTAAGTCATCGTTGCTCCTCTGGCCAGATTTTGTGGTTCATGGTAGGATTTTCTTCAAAACCAGCTTCAGAGGGTGTTAATGAGGACAGACTGAGAACAAACAATCATAAGGATAATCTTTAGTCATTTAGTTTCCTTCTTACTTGTAGAAAATAAAACTCACCATCGGCCGGATCCCAAATTCAGAGAAATTTCATGCTGTCTCCTGCATGTGCTCCTTAAAAAATGAGCGTGTTGTACCTTGTCAACTGGGTAAGTCTGGACCTGGGAAGACACTGAAGAGGAGTCCGGCCATTAGAAAGGGTCAGTGCAAAGGAAGTGGAGAGTAACAAGCCAAGACCCGCAGAGGAGCAAAGAGGGTCCCTGGACTCTGCAGGGGCTCTGCCCCCTCACCGCTGTGTGAGACGAGGTGAGTTAACACAGCTCTCTGATTTTCGGCATCTACATCTTAACGGCGGGGATAACTCCCCTCTCTGGCTATTTGCATCCGGGATGTTGAGAGGGCCAAGGGTGGTAATGACTGTGGAACACAGAGGAAATGGAAGGCCTCAATATCTCAGACTTTGTCCCACACACCACTGAGATTGGGTAAGTCCCTCATGTAAGATGAACACGGTGTGTTCTGTGAGGCGGTACCCCACGTAATCCCTTCTCTGTTGGGAACATACGGTGGGAAATGCTCATTCCAGGAACGCAAGGTTCCAGAGAGATGTGATATCATATCAGTTCTCCCAAACACCTCCTGCTCCTTGTCATGCCCTTGGTCCAAAATGCCTGGCAGAGTCGCCTCTTGGACTCAATAATTATCTTGTTTTCTTAAAGACCCAGTAACTATTCTAGAAGTCAAAGCAGTTTCAGGTCATATACAGTAAAGATCTGTTTTCTCTACAAGGAATTAAGGCAATGACTTAACACTTCTGAACTTGAAAGGTTTTAACTAATTGATACAGTAATTGATCCTACAGGCCAAAAACATCAAGTCTTTTTTCATAAACAGGAAAACGGAGGCAGAGAGTGAAAGGACTAATCAAATCTGGGAACGTTAGAGCATAAGGAGGCTTCAGGAAATATGTCTTACCACGTTGTCATTTTGTGCCGGAAGACATCAAGGCCCCAAACGTTTAATACAAACAAAACAGAAACAGGCTCATAAATACAGAGAACAAACTGGTGGTGGCCAGCCAGAAGGAGGGGACAGGAGAAGTAGGCAAAGGAGATTAAAAGGTACAAACTTCCAGTTATCAAATAGGGCAGTCTCCGGGATGGAGCGTGCAGCCTGGGGAATAGAGCCAATGATACCACAATAATATTGTTTGGTGACCACACTTAACTGTGGTGAGCAGAGCGTAATGTACAAGATTGTCGAATCACTCTGTTGTAGGCCTGAAACTGACAGAACACAGCATGTCGGAAAGGAACAATAGTAAAGCGGTATCCTCTGTGGTTCCCAGTTTCATAGCTGTATAGTGGCAGAAAAAGAATCTAAGAAATCTAAGAATCTGAGAAACAGATGTCCTGATCTTCACTTTGTTTTTGGACTGAGGTTTGAAAAGACCTTCAGTAGACAGAAGACACATCCAAATACAGATCTGTTATCCAGATTGTCTAAAAATCCTTACCTCCTGTTTCTTTTTTTAAGCTGGATTGAAGACTCTGCTTTCTCCCTAGTTTTATTGAAATGTCATTGACACATGGCATGGTATCGGGTCAAGGTATGCAACGGAATGACCTGATGTGTGTGGATTCACCTACTGTTCCTACTTCCAGAAATCTGTCCAATGGAAATACTCACCCAACCCAGATTGTTCTGTAATGTTCACTGCATTTTTGTAAGAAAAAATAAATTCTTTAGGAATTGCTTAATTATGAGGACTTCCTGGGAATCCCACTTCCTGGGATTGGTTGCTCTGAAGATGTTAAATATTCTACATGTGAGTCACAGAAAGATGTTTGCAATATAGTAAGAATGACAGAAGCAAGTTGCGGTGTGCCTGGGTGACTGACTCAGTCGGTTAAGCGTCTACCTTTGGCTCAGGTCATGATCTCAGGATCCTGGGATTGAGCCCCGCATCAGGCTCCTTGCTCAGCAGGGAGCCTGCTTCTCCTTCTGCCTCTGCCATTCCCCCTGCTTGTGCTCTCTCTCTCTCTCTCTCTCTAAAATAAATAAATAAAATCTTAAAGAAAAAGAAAAAGAAAAAAGCAATTTGCAGAACAGCAGGCATGACATCGTCCTATTTTTACAAAAATAAATTATTGGTATTTACATATATGTATATGTGTATACAAAATTTCCCCAACCCTAATAAGAGAGAAATGCCTAGCTCATCTGGTTGTCGTGAGGTTTAAATGGGTGAGGTGTGGACGGCAGCTAGGACACTGCCCAATATGCAGTGAGCACTCAGTGCTGGTTATGCAGCTGCTGCTTTGACAATGCTGTTTTGTTCCGTAAGAATAATCTCTGAGAAGTAGGAGCACGGTTGGCCATGTGGGGGAGGCATTTCTATTATGTTTGAATTTTTTTTTTTTTTTTTGCAATGAGCATGTCACTTTTATTTAAAAAAATACAAGTGGAAAATAAGTAAATTTTATATATTTATATAAATATATATTTATTATATAAATATATATTTATATAAATGTATATTTCTTCTTGAAATAGATTTATATTTATATCTTATTTACATTTATTATATAAACATAAATTTAAATAAATATGTTTCTATAAAAATAGAGAATTTACATAAATATGTATATTTTTTTAATCTTTAAAAGTAAGAAACCAAGCCACTTCAGGAAAGGAAATGCAAAACCATCGAAGTAAAACTGTCCAGCAACCAGCAATGTGGGGAGATACACTCCTTTGAAGCCCAAAGGTCCTCCCGTTGTTTGGCTCAGAAGTCTACACCACAATACTAATAAAAGCTAAAATTAGATGGACAGAGCTTAGCCACCAGGCCCTAAGCCCTTCCTGGGATGAACTATATCCTCACCAGGCTCTTCTCTGCCCTCCAGCATGAGAGCGCTGTGCCAGCCCTGGGCCCGCCAGCCCTCCTATTGTAGCCAAATCAGCTGGGGGCATGTTAAGCCGGGGGCATGCTCTAGGGGCTCCTCCCACTTGAGGGCTTTGCTTCCAAAAGGAAGCCTCAGGGCACATTCCCAGATTCCCCCACCCACAACCCAATCTGATTCCTTAGGTCCAGGGTGGGCCCTGAAATCTGCATTTTAACGGCCACTTCCAGATGATTGGATTAGGTGGACAAGGGACCCTTGAGGGGCAGCAGCCCCGGGGTCATGGTAAGAGGCAAAGTGGCTTCTGAGAGGCTGCAGGACATGGAATGGGCACGTGGGTGGTTTTGACGGGCGAGGGCCCACAGTTCTCAATAATTCTGGAAAAGGCTAATGGTGGCCACCCCTTGCCTCCTCCTCCTCCAAAGAGAACTCTGTTCCAGAGGTGAGAAGCCCAGTGTGGCTCCTTGCTCTTGGTCCCGGGGGGTGGGGGGGGGGTGGGAGATGTCCTAACCAGGGCCTGCCAGAGGCCATGGGATCCTGACCCTGCTGCCACAGGCCATTAGATGCAGCTGGCATTGGATGGAGACAGGAACCTGCTGCTTGGCTTCCGGTAAAGCCATTCCTGCAGGCCATTCCTCCTCCTCAGCCTTTGTTCTTCTGTGCCTCCCCTTCCCCAAGCCAGGGGCCAGCCACTCTCCCCCAGGATTCAACCTAGGTCCCTGCCCAGTGAGGGGCCTTTCTTCCTCCCAACAAAGGTAGTGACCCCAAGGAAAGCTGCTGACTGAACTGGCCCGGAAGTCTGGTGATCAAGGCGTGTGTCCCCCAGCTTTTGGAGTCGTCTTCTGTCCCTGAGCTGAGAGCTGGAGGATGGTCTGCTGAGGTGGGGGCAGGTCTCCAGGCCAGGGCTGAACAGACGTGTGCCTCATATAATTTCCCCAGAGCAGAGAGGGTGGGACAGACCGCCTCACACTGCCCACCCCCAGCCACATCCACACCCCTCCTCAGTGCATTACGCCATCTGTGACCTCTCTGCTTCCAGAACTGTCTTGATGTTCATTCTAACTTGGTTCCAGGCAGATAAACATGGGCAAAGGTGGGGCTAGGGCCCGCAGAGTGACTGACCCTTATCCCCACAGGGAGGCCCTGTTCTAGGCATACTTGTAGAGGAAAGGCAGTAACAAGAACGGATTATAAACTATTCTGGTGCAGCGCTGCAGTCTGGCTGGGGAAGAAACCAGAGCCCAGACATGGGAAAGAGGCTGACCTGGGCTCCCTGAGGCCCGGGCCACGCCTCCATCTCCCAGGCCAACAGCTTCACCTCAAGGCCTTCACCATCTCCCTGGGCGCTCCCTCCTGCTCATGGCCTCGAGCCTCTAGAACCCACACCAGAGGGAGTCTCTGTCTTCCCACTTTGTCTCTCTGCTGAGGACACAAACGGTTCAGTCGATTCTAAACAGCAGCTGGTGAGATATGCAGTGAATGCGCCGGGCCAAACACATCCACCCTTCCTTGAAGCTGCTGACATGTTCGCGTGGGTTCCAGAAAGGCATCTGGGGTTATGTAGAGTGAGCCACACACGTATATGTACGTGTGTGTGTTGAGAGAGGGAGAGACAGAGAAGACAGGTGGAAAATAATAATTCCTTATTTTTTAAAGATTTTATTTTTGCGCAAGAGAAAGCAAGCACACATGAGTGGCGGGAGAGGGGCAGAGGGAGAAGCTGGCTCCCCAGGGAGCAAGGAGCCTGATGCAGGACTCGATCCCAAGACCTTGGGATCATGACCTGAGCGGAACACAGACGCTTAACCCACTGAGCCATTCAGGCACCAGGTAACAATAATTCTTTACTAAGCTGAGAAGCCCAAGCCCACAATGGCCCCCGCCCCCCACCTTTCTCTTCAGAGCTGATCCCAAGAGAGTTTCTTTTAGGATAAGGAGAATTTAAAGTATCATAAACAGGCCCAAAGGGAGAGGCCTTTCAGATTCAGAATGTGGATTAACTCAGAGTTCTTTAGTGAAGCTGAATTTCCAGATATGCAAGAAATGTGTTTTATTGCAAAAAGTCTTTAAAAGGGTCTGAGTTAATGAATTCTTTGTCTAATGGTCAAGGATCTGGAAGGATCTCAGAAGGCATTGTCAATACCAACTCTGGCTAGATGGTTCTGGAAAACTAAGGGTTTATGGGAATCTTGCACTCACAGTCCTAGACTCTGGAGCTGCCTGATTCGGTAGCTACTAGCCACGTGTGGCTTTTACAATTTGAACTAACGAAAATTAAATAAAATTCAAATTGCATTTTCCAGTTACACTAGCCACATTTGGAGTGGTCAGTAGCCCTGTGTGGCAAGAGGCTGAGGTATTGGACAGCACGGATAGAGACTATCCTCACAGGACGTCCTGGTGGACAGCGCGCTCCAGAATGTCAAACCCCCAAGAGGGGTAAATAATTTACATCTGTCTTGTTCACCATCATGATCCTAGCATGTAAATACGGTGTGTCATTCATGATGAGTGCTTGACCAATATATTTGAAAGAAGGAATCACTAAATTTGGGGTTATATTATATAATTCCTAAGCATTCTTTTTGATGGTGTTTTCAAGTACATCAGTGATTCTGATAACCTATCTTTTGGGGGTACGGGGCCAGATCCAATTGATTTTTAAAGCCAAACTGTGGGCCTTTTTAAGGTAATCTGTTTTCTCAAGAGTTAGCAGATTTCTCCGAGTACATTGACTTGGGAGCTGTAGAGATACACACACACACACACACACACACACACACACACACACACACAAGATCTAAAACCCTTTCACAAGAGTTTATGACGTGGTGACAAAGGGAAAAACGACTTGTTGTAATTTATGGTTTACCTGATGTCATTTGAGGAAGCACTATTCCATAAGTTTAATTTTAAAATTATGTTCATCATCTTTCTAAAACTTGCCAGCCCTTTTTTCCCTTTCTCAACTCCTCTTACTCGGGGTCATGGCTGTGGTATTCCTTCGCCACACCCTGCGTATTTCCTAAGGAGTACTGAGACCTGAAGACTATCTCCTTCTCTACCAAGTGATCCCGGATTGCTTGTGTTCCTGCTGGGGGCTGGGGAAGCAGACGGCGCAGCTTGTCTTAAACCTACG